GAAATTCCTGTTAGTAAAGTATTCTGGTTGTTTAAATGCCAGCTAGCGGAGATTTTACTGTATAAGTATTTAATACATTGATCACTAAAGACAAGTACAGTTCTCAGTTAAAAGAGTGGAAGACCATCTTGGGGGTCACTATATTAATATAGTATCTATGTAAAATAAATGACCTTACTGATGTTAGTGAATGAGCTGTTCTTGTGACCTGCTCATGAGCACTGAGACAAAAAGAAATTTAAAAATCTAGAACTCTTGGTTCAGAGGTGATACCTTTTATTAGACCAACTAAGAAATGGCAAAAAAATTGTCTTTTTCCACAAGCTTTTGGGCTCATGCACCCAGGCCAGAAGAAGGGTGCATAAGCCTGAAGCAGCAATGGAGCCATGCACTGCCAGGTATCAGAGCCTGTGCAGACCACCAATGGCAGCAACAGGCAGCAGGCACTTGTGGTAGGGGCTGTGAGCCAAGGGAGGGGTGTGTGTGGGGGGGGTCCTATCTCCCCCCACCCTTTCTAACATCCACATCATGCATAGCCGAGCTCCGCACTCCCACTGCCCCCTGCGCACACTCCCACCTGCCCCAGCCCCATGCTCTGCATTCCCGCCCAGCTGTAACCCCCTTCCCCACCCCGCCGCTGCTTCCCTGCCTGGAGCAAGCAGGATGCCAGGGAAGCCTTGTAGGTCCCTTAGAGGCTACAACAGTGGCAGAAGCAGCCCTGCCCAGAAGCTGTATGCTAGCTGGGCCAGGCCCTTCCACCCAAAAGGTTGGAAGCGAGGTGTGCGAGATGGCCAGGGTACAAATTAGTTGGTGGACACCCACAGGCTAGATCAAATTGCCTGGCAGGCCAGATCCAGCCCGTGGGCTGTATTTTGCCCTCCCTTGCTCTGCAGGGTGCAATGCAGTGCTGTTTAGTGATGTGAGACAGAGCTGGAGTATCAGATTCAGTATGGCCACAGTAGCTCAGCTAAAGCATCAGGTTAATAGACTCTGCTTCCTGACAGGGCTAATTAATCCAAAGAGGATGATGCACTAACCTGGCTAAACAGTTTCTGGTACCCTAACCTGCTCTTTTATGTTTACACAGCTCTAATTTGTGCCATGTAGAGATATACACATACATAGAGAGAATCCCTGACACCTCACATAAGCTAAAACAGAAGGGAAGAAAAAACCCCACCAAGATCTAGCTGAAGAACAAATATGGTTTGTTTTCCCTCTAGTGTTTTGTAGCCTTATATATTGAATACATATTTGAATACATAAATATATATACGTGAATACATAATTTAGATGTAAAGTCAGTAGGGAAATATCACTTTTATATGAAAAGGAGTTGGAAGAAAAACTAGTTTTATCCCCCACCCCTTCTCAGAGTTGAAATTTTAATTACTCTTCTTTTCAGTTCTGCATCTTTCAAGAGAAGTACACATTTTAATGAAATGCAGGTTATAAAGGAGTGTCATTCTGTTTGAAGCATCAGATTTGAAAGACAAAATATAGTAGCCTTACAGTAAAGCAGAGCCTTCTCCAATCAGTCAGTATGTTTAGTAAAATCACTGAATGACAGCTCCACTGACTGAAATCCTCGAAACAAAGTACATACAATAACACTGCAAGCATCTTCATGTTGTCCTGACATTGTGCTTCTAGTCTCTTATGGAACAAAGCATCTCTAGGGACAAACCAGTAGTTCAGTTTGCAGAAAGAGTCCATCCTTAACAGGTCTGCAGTGACAGTTAATAATTATTATGTTATGGTAGGGGTTTGGTTTTGGGTGTTTTTTGGGGGGGGGCGTTCCTCCTGATGTACATGCTGTTTACTGAAACTGGGGCTAATACCACAGAGGCTACTTTGTAGCTATCAGATGGTAAAGACGCTGTTATAGTAATGCATCATTCTTAATAATCTTTAAATAGGAAGCATTGTAATAGAGATTTCTTGTATCACCTTGATTTTGCATGGCTGCCTGTTCTAAAAAATTAAATTTAACACTAATGAAGCAGGATTTTCCATATGGCATATATAACCTGCAGGCATTTATTTCCCATTTCATTTTTAATTATGTTAAATTTCAGAAAATCAATTTTATTTCCTTGTATTTTTTCATTCAAACACCCAAATTTTGACACCCAATTCCATGCCAGAAAAACTTAAAAAAAAAAAAAAGAGACAGAAGGGAGATGCAATAAATACAATTTTGGGAGAGGCAAATCTGTTGAGAAGATTGTGAAGGTCTAAGAAACTGCCTCGACACATGCAGAAACAGCATGCACAGAGGCTGAAGTTCTCTCAATTTTAGTTTTCCCAGACCAAGAACATTATGCTCTGTTCCTGGAAAGAAGGCTTTGTTTAAAGCACATAACCTACTAATCTCTAGAGATTGAGGACAATGCTGTCATGGCACTTCTGGGGAAAAAATGGATTTGCCAAAACAAGCATTGACATGCCAAGATGGAGAGAGACAGGTATTTTCTTTTTTTAAAAAACAAACATTTAACTTAAGCTTCTAAATAAGCTTTTAATTCAAGGGTAGGAAAGGGGTGAAAAATAAGGTAGTCACTTTTCATGACTTCCTGAATGCCCAAGTCACTGGTCCTTTCTGGTTTTACATGTTGCCCAACCAACATTTTTCTTTCCCACTTAAAGTGAGAATTCAGTTGCTGTTTTTCTTTATTTATTGCTTTCCTGCCTTGGTTCCCATTGCTCCAAAGGGATGCACAAGATGGTAAGGAGCACACCCGTCTCTATTGAATGGGGCTCCCTGTCATGCACGTGCAGCTCTCAGCACTTGCACACCACCGGGGGAAGCCCCGCACTATGGAGCCAACTGCCCTTGCTGCCTTCTTCCATACTGGTCCCAGGACTCTGCCGGGAAGCAGGGTGCAGGGCTCCCCTCCACTTTCAGTGGAGTCCTGGGACCCGCATGGCAGGGAGCCCTGTGCAATACAAGTGGGCCACCCTGCTGTGCTCCTTTCCAACATGTGTAGCATGGGCTGGAGCCCTGCTCTGCTGGGTATCAGCACCTACGCCGGCCATGAGAGCCTTGAGCTCCCGCTGCCTGCTGCTGCTGTCACGTGTGGTGGGGGTGTGTACCATGGGGGCGGGGGATGTGGTGGGTTCCCACATCCCACGAATGCCACACACTCGCACCCTTCCCCCCCCCAACATACCCTATTCCCACCCACACACAGCCACACCCCCTCACAAAAGCCTCCCACACACCCCTATCCCCAACCACACCCCACACATTCCTCTACATACAATATACAAGAATAAGACTTTTTTTATTTTTGAGTTATTATGCAATCACCTCTATATATAACTACGCAAACACAAATCATGATGATTTTTTTTTTTTTATAATAAAATTAAAATATGTTATAGTAGGTGTTTGACTTTGTTTTGACTTTTAGTGATTTGGCTTTTTTTTTCTGGTTCCAAGATGGCAACCCTGTTCTCCCAAAAGGAGAACTTTTCTCAGCAGATGCAAGGGGAGGGACTTCTGGTGGCAAAGGTTGGGGTTAGAGGTGGGACTTCAGATCTCAAGATGGTGACCAGGGGGCAGAGCACCTATCAAGGGGCAGGGCTACCCTTGTGTCCCTTGACAGCTTACCAAGACTCATTAAGTGGCCCTCCAGCCGAAATAATTGCCTGCCCCCTGCTGTAGACACACCCTGCATCTTCTGCAGCTTTAAATACATTGTAACTTTTCGTTTTTGATCTGTAGTTTTTGTTATGCCTGTTTCTAAGGAGAAGAAACTTGTAAATCTCCTTGTTCAATCTCCAAGTTGGAGTTTTTAAAGACTTGCTGAAATTGATTGCATATTTTAAGGTTTTGTGCTAGAGAGCCTTTATAACTTAAAGCATGAAAAGAATTTTGCTGAAAAGGACTGTTTACCAATTTTTTAAAAGTCATTTTCTTTCTTAATCTAAGTCGTTTGATAATGAAGTGATACTTGCATATTAAGCCATCTACCATTACATTTCTGCATCTGGCACTGAAGTCTAAAATAATTGCTATGGCCCTCTCCCCCACATAAAACTTGGCTGTTGGTAATACTAACCACAGGATAAGTGTTGAAAAACATAGGTACATGACTTGGATTAAAATACTTTGTCTAAACTGCATTGGTGGTAGTGTGGTATTTAAGTGAACTTGTGAAACATTTTTTGCTTTATACTAGTATTGCTCTCATTAAAGAAGTATTACCAGTAAATTAATTTTCTGTGTACAGTTCAGTCACAGGGAATTAAATATATGCAAATTCTTGTGTTAGCCTCTTACCTGATAGTCTTTAAATACTTATGGTTGTAATAGTGAATAATTCATATTACACTTGTAAGAAAAAGTTTATGGCATGTATACACCAGCAAAGAAGAGTGCTATAGATAAGCATGACATCTTCACTGTTTTTATCCTACAACCCAAAATGGATGTACTGTAGTCACCCTAGTGCACCAATGGGTGCATGCTAGTAAGCAGTCATGCTAGTTCAGTATGCCCAGAACTGAACTAAGCTGGTTGTAGCACATCTGTTTTGGGGTGAAGCCTGCATGGAAAGCCGTTGAGCTTTCTAGTATGGACCTTTGACAGTATATACGTGCCATCAGGAGTGAGTTGCTGACCATAAATCTCAAAGTTCTAAAATACCTTTACCTTTAAACTAAAACATTGTATTTCTATGTTAAAACATCTTATAAACCAATGCGAGTTTGTTTTTGTTTTTTAAAAGAAACTTATTGAATCCTATAACCTATGTTTTTCACTATATCTTTGCTAGTTGGATTCTTTTCAACAATAAACTTTTGGCTAATCTAATGAAATGATGTATTTCCTTGAAAATCAGTAGCAGTTGAAATATGTTAGTGTTATAAGTAATGAAATTTATTTTTGTGTGAAGTTTAGAAACCTTTTCCTAGTAATACTTAAACCCAGCTGTAAATAGTTTATTGAAGTAGTCACTATAAAATTTTCACTGCTGATTTTGTATTTGTAGAGCCAGAATGAAGACTGGGGAGGTTTGTCTGAGGATATCTTATGATTAAGAGCATTCTAAGGCATTAGCCCTTTTGACCCCCATCTAAATTATTGGTAACTACCAAATTTACCATTTTGGTGGCATGGATTAAATGGGTGCTATGCAGAGACTGTTGCACGCGTAATGAAATCCTTGCAAGGATAATAAAGAGAAATTATGGGTGATGGGCTTAACCGTATGCAACATTTGCATGATGGTATTTGGAGAGTGCTTTGAGTGTTCTGTTTTATTTTCCTTTTTATACTAACAGCATCAGTTTGAAGTGTGTGACTTCTATGGGCTTTGTTTTGGTGTTGGTAATTAAGTGGGTTAATTGAGGCTAGAGAAATGGGTACCAAAACTAATTACTAAATAGATGTTTGGCTTTTATACTTATAATCAACCCACTTAAATATTTATATTTTCTGAAAAATGAGCTTTTACATCTGCTATGCAAAGGAAGTGGGCCCTGGTATAGAATGGGTGCTGCTGCAATTGACTGTATATCTAATGCCAGATGCTGCATGACAGAACAAAGCTTATTTGCATATATAGTGCATTGCAACATATTTTTGTGCAGGACATAAGAGATGAATACATTGTGGCAATACTACAAAGAAAAGGTAAGACTTTCCTTAAAAACAAAGCTAAAACACTTGAGTTGTCCGGTTATAAAAATCTAACTAGGTAGGATTTATCGTTATTTGTATAACTTAATTATACAAATGTTATATACCATAATACAAATTATAGTCTATAAATCATCTTTTGCATTTGTTCAGAATAAAAGTAAATAGACTTTATTTCACTGACCAAATGAATTCAACTTAGTGAATATATACAGCCAAAATTTTGCAAATATTAAAATAAAATTTATCTTTAAGAAAAAAAATTCATAAATTTGATTTTTAAACCACTTTTGATTGTTCATTACTAGTTCTGTTTAGTTATATGGTGTATAATTTCAATGGTTACATTATATATGTATGATTTTCACCTTTTACAATGTAAACAGTTTCACTGCTGTTTGTGTGATGACTGCCGTAGACTCAAGAATGTTTGTAAAGTTGTGCCCTGAATGAGTCTGCTCTGCAGTACAAACTTCTACCCTACCTGTGAAGAGCTTGAGTGGTTTTATCTAAAAAATGTAGCTTGAGAAGGGATGATATTGCTCTCTAAATCAGTGTTTTAGACACCCAGAAGGGAGAAGAGCTGCTTAACTAAAAGATGATGCTGACACAGGAACAAATGGGTATACATAACTATAACTTTAGGTTAAAAATTAAAAGACTTCTAATAATCTGAAGAGCAAAATTCTGCTAGTAGGAGTAGTGAGGGTAAAACCTAACTATTTATAAGGTAAAACTTGATAAATTTAGAAACAGAATAGTATGCTTTAGGTGTAGTGATAGCAGTGTACTGGATTTGATGACTGAGGTTCCTCTGAGTCCTATGTTCCTAATGTACTTTCCAGTAACTGTAATGGGCATGATGCTGAATAAGGTTTAGTGGTCACAGCAGACTAGGACATGGTGTTCTCGGCTCAATTTGTCCTGGTCTCTGCTGCCCACTAAATTGCATTCAGCATCTTTTTTTATGAAGTGGAGGAGGGGAAAGGAGGAGGGTTCAGTATTAGTATGGGAAGAGAGGAATTGATAAGTTTAGAAGATAAAGATAACTGAGTACATATAAACCAAAACAAAAGGAAACAGTACAGAATATATAGTTGGAATAGGCTTCCTTGGAGAATAAATGCTCATAATTGCTGTTGGGTCCGTCCCCCGCTCCCACCCCAAAATATTTTAATTTTGTTAATTAGGCAAATAGAACAGAGCTGAATTAGAAAGCTTTGCAGTATTTTCTTCATGAAAATGTTAAACTTCCATGCAAGATCTGGCCTTTTGGATAAATAATTGCTCTGTAGGATGTGCCGTTAGATGAATTCTTGGGACATAATATATTGTTTTAATCTCAGATGCGGCTTTAGAAGTTCAGCTATTCATCAGAGGCTATTTAGGGAAACAATGTAGCAGACACAGCTATTCATGGGATATGAAGGACATTAATTTGTGGTGTGCTCAAATTGGAAACATTAAAAAATTACTTCTGCCCACACCCCAGGTGAAGTGGGCTTGCAGATGCTTCAGAAAGAAATAGTTTCAGCCAGGGAACATGTATATAGCCTCTGTGGTGCCCCCTGGCTGGAACATTTCAAAACTACTGTGGCTGCATACAGCCCTACCTCTCCAGTCATGGGGGTCAGAAAATGTCTCTTGGTAGTGGGAAAGGAGCAGATCCTTGCCACCAGGATTAGAACCAGGGATTCTGGTTTTCTCTGATTATTAAAAAAAAAAAAAAAATCCCCAATTTTTGGGTTAGAAAAATTTGGATTTTAGGTTACTTTTTTGTGATTAATATGAAACACTACTATATAAACATCTATGTATTGGAGGCGTTTCATTTTGATCTCAGAAAAATGTGGATTTTGGGTTACTTCTTTTAACCTGAAAATTGGGGATTTTTTTTTATCAAAGAAAGCCAGGATCTCTGATTAGAAGTCTCTGGCCCCAATTCCCTTTACCTCTCCATTGCACACCAGAGTGAGGTAGAGAGAATTGGGACTGGAGACCCCGGCAGCAGAATCCTGAGTGCTGGAGCAGCCAGGACCTGAGGGAGCCTAGTGTCTGCAGTCTGGTAGGCTGACTCTGCAGCCTGGTCTCCCTCCCCTCTGAAGATAGGGTTAGGGGGCAAAGCAGAGCAAAATTTGAGTTCTGGAGGAGCTGAGTCCCCATCCCCACGCACATGTAAAAAGAACTGAAATGCTTTAAAGTAGTACCTTGTTTTAGAGCATTTTAGCTGCTTTTGTAATGTTTCAAAGGGCATGTACAGTTGTAGAGCTGGCCGTTTGAAGTGTTTCAAAAGTTTTGAAACCTTTCAGTTATTTCAGCCCACAACCTGCCAGGTTTCTTAACCATTTTGTGGTTTCAGTGTTGCTAAAAATCAGATGTGCCTGAGTGGTGGCTTTCTGAGAGGTAGGAGGGATGAGTTTTCAAGAAACAGTGTAGGCTGGAGTGTGGAAAAGGTTCAGTACTATTAGGACATTTTCATTTCCTAGAACTCTGACATGTAAGCAAAGGAAGTCAGTTGCTTGAAGTGAAACTTGTTTGAATCTTGTATTGTTATTGGATACAAACAAATTTTTGAGTATAGCTTTGAGAGCCAGTTCTGAGCCTTGGATGATTTTTCTGTTCCTTGCACATTCTTTTCTCTTTACTGTAACAAAAGTTTATATATTAAAAGGTGAGGTTAAGGTTAAACCAGTGTTAATTCTGCAAAATGTTGGTGCTACCTGATGTGTTTTTAACAGAGTTAAAATAAATCCCTACTTATAAAATGTAATTGTTGTTTTGGACCTGTACTGGGCAGTGAAGTTACAGGCTCTGTTAGGAAGCTTGTTCCCATTTGTCTATTCTTCCTAGCAGGCATAGTCATTCATGTTCAAGTTAAATAGCACTCTGGATAACCTGAGCATCAGTAAAGGCTTTTCTCTACAGAGTTATGAATAAGTTAGTATGTGGACACTTATTTTGGAATATCTTGTTCCCGTTGGGTGCATCCAGACATGCGTCGATGTTTGGTTCCCTGGGGAAAAGTAGCAGCAGCTCATCTTGCTCTGCCACTTCTTGTCCCTGGGGAACGCCCATGCCACCTGCGCTTTGGAGCATGGCAAGTTTCCCTGGGTGGCATAGGAGATGGGGTCTCCTATGCCTGGGGTCCTGGGCGCTTCCTAGAACCTGCAGCTGCGGTGATCCTGCCAGGCAGAGCCTGACCAGCAGCTGCATCGCAGCTCCAAGTGGCCTGGCTCCACTTCTTAGCAGCACATGCTGCCCGAGTGTACGCTGCTTCTGGTTTTTTTCCCCAAGTTTTTCTTGTTCTTGTT